AAGGCTGCTGGAATTGGGTATGTCTAGTTTAATGAAGAGAAGGACGAGGGGGGACATGATAGCAGTATTCCAATATCTCAGGGGCTGCCACAAAGAAGAGGGAGTCAAGCTATTTTCCAAGGCGCCTGAAGGCAGGACAAGAAGCAACGGATGGAAACTAATCAAGGAGAGAAGCAACCTAGAACTAAGGAGAAACTTCGTGACAGTTAGAACAATTAACCAGTGGAACAACCTGCCTCCAGAAGAGGTGAATGCTCCAACACTGGAAGTTTTTAAGAAGAGACTGGACAGCCATTTGTCTGAAATGGTATAGGGTTTCCTGCCTGAGCAGGGGGTTGGACTAGATGACCTCCAAGGTCCCTTCCAACTTTATTATTATTGTTGTTGTTGTTTTGTTTTTGTTGTTGTTGTTGTTGTTGTTGTTGTTGTTGTTGTTATTATTATTATTATTATTATTATTATTATTATTATTATTATTATTATTATTAGTACTATGAGCAGGAGAAAGGCACTGCTGCTCTTATCACCCTACCCAGATCGTTTGTTTGGTGGATTCTTCCTTCAGTTCTTGGCCCCATTCCCAACTTCCATGTATTTTTCAGGCTGGGCAATGGATGACTTGTGGGGTTGCTGGAGAGGGTCTATCAGGAATTAAAGATGTGCCTGTTCCCAATGTAGATCTCATTTGAGGAGGTGGCCATGCATTTCTCTGAGCAAGAGTGGGCATTGCTGAATGTGAATGAAAGAGCCCTCTACAAGGATGTCATGCAGGAAAACTATAAGCACATATTGTCCCTGGGTAAGTATTATGCCTCCTGTTGTCTCCTCTATTATTAAAACATGGAATTTTTTTTAGATTCCATGTTACATGGGTTTACATAAACAACCAATCAGGCAATGAAACACATGAACAAGATTATGAAGGACCAGGGCATTTCCATTTTAACAAAGATTAGAACATGTAAGACATTGTTTTTTCCAGCGGTAATTTATTTTTTATTTATTATATTTTGGAACCGTCCATCTTCCTACTTGGGAGTGCCTGTGAAAGTTGGACTCAGGGAAGGAATGGGAGAAAGAAGATTAATGCCTTTGAATTATGGATTTTTGGAGATGATCATTAAAAGCACATGGATTGATCAACTCTTAACCAAACAGAGGCCAGTTGATCCCTTGAAGCAAAGATCAACGAGAAAATGCTCCCCTATTTTGACAGATGATGTGAGGGATGAAAGGATAGATAGGATTATTATGCTTGACAAGGATGAACAGAGAAGCAGAAAAGGAATAAAATAAAATAGACGATCAGGACCAAGAAGATTTCTGGGTAATTTTCAGATATTGCCAAAGGCAAGTTAAGATGCTGAGCATTTGGTCTTAGAATCACAAGGAGTCAAGCCGGCTTTGATGGTGCCTAACCAACTTTACTAAAGAAAACATATCACGTATGTTCTCCCTGATCTTTTAGGCTTTTCAACCTTTTCACCCATTGTACCACTTTTAGGATATGGCAATATCCGAGTACCACCAGTCGCCTAGCAAGGTGTCAAAAACTTGATGATCAAAAAAAAAAAAAGGAAAAAAGTGATGAAGTACAGGTAGTCCTCGACTTACAACAGTTCGCTTAGTGACTATTCGAAGTTACAATGGCACTGAAAAAAGTGCCCCCCAAGCCACAGCCGAGCAAGACACCTGCCTGCCCACCTGGTGGCGCTCTTCCTCCTGTCCGTGGTTTCCATTGCTGTGAGCATTTCTGTTGAGGATTGGCAGCGGGGGTGGGATGGGGTGTGTGTGGTTTTTATTCCCCCCATCTAATGGGTGGTTGCAGCAGGTTTTGGTCACTTCACATGACCCTGGGACACTGTGACCGTCATAAATATGAATCAGTTGCCACACATCTGAATGTAAATCACAAGACCCTGGAGATGCTGCAACATTCCAGCTGATCGGCACTTCTTCTGGGCTCAGCAGAAGGGCTAGGATCAGCGCTGAGCTCCAGCTGGATCCTGGCGCTGATCCTGGCGCTTCTGCTGAGCCCTGACAGCCCTGCAGCTCCAGCCATCTATCACTCAGGCTTGTGCGGTGCTGCCACCGATTCAGCTCATCCCCCTCCCCTGCTACCACTTTTCTAGGATGGTCGCGTACCACCTGCCAGGTGCCAATGTACCACAGGTGGTACCCGTACCACTGGTTGAAAAGCCCTGTTTTATAGGACAACTGCATAGTATATTCACATTCCTCAGCAGTTCCTAATGCAGCATGCTGTTTATAAAGCCAGCTAAAATTGGTGTGTCCTGTTTACAGATAGTCCTCGACTTACAACCATTTGTTGAATGACTGTTCAGGGTTAAAATGACACTGAAAAAAGTGACTTAAGACCAATTCTCACGCTTACGACCACTGCAGCACCCCCATAGTCATGGGGTCAAACTTTGGGTGCTGGGCAACCAGCACACATTTATGATGGTTTCAACATCTCAGTATCCTCCACGTGTCATCTGCCACCTTCCTAGAGAGCGTCGGGCAAGCAAAATCGATGGGGGAGGCCAGATTTGCTTAACGACAACATGATTCGCTTAGCAACAGTTGTGATTTGCTTAACAGCCATGGCAAAAAAATCTCATAAAATGGGGCATGACTCACTTAACAACTGCCTTGCTTAGCACTGGAAGTTCTGGGCCCAGTTGGGCTCAACCACCTCTAATGTTCCAACTTCCTTTATATATTTTATACTCTATTTCCAGGACGTGTCCAGTGAGTTCCTGGTGGTTTCCCATTTAGGGGGTCTCAGTCCTGCTTCATTCAGCAATATGGCTGCCATACATGCTTTCGGAGTTTATTCATTAGGATGGGATTTGTTTTGCTGACGGGGGAAAAAGAGGGGGGAAATCCTTCCCCTAGGCCAGGGGTAGGCAACCTCGGCTCTTTTATGACTCGTGGACTTCAACTCCCAGAATTCCTGAGCCAGCCATGCTGAGGGGAAAGGGAGAGGTTTCCAAGCTGAGCCATGCTGGCTCAGGAATTCTGGGAGTTGAAGTCCACGAGTCATAAAAGAGCCAAAGTTGCCTACTCCTGCCCTAGGCAGCTAATGTCCACTGACCTGAAAAAGAGGAGAAGAGCTGGGTATTATATTACATTGCAAAAGTAGACAGGCTGTTTCTGCCTCTCTCTGAGCAGGCTTCCCAATGGCTCAGCCTGGCATGGCCACCCGCACGGAGCAAAGGGACGGGCTGTGGAGGTTGAACTTTCAGGAATTTTGGAAGAACCAGTACTTGACAAAAGGTGAAGTGCGGCTAAAATAATCAGAAGTAATAATTACATTTCTACTCTACGTGTTTGGTCCTTATACATATAATAATTTGTTTATAGGGGGGAAAAGGAAACATGCATATAGGAAAGTTATAGTTAAAAATGCATATTTATTCATTATAGGAGCTGCCTGTGTATGTATGAAAGGGGACAGTAGCATCTTTTCTATGCTAAATATTACATACAGGTAGTCCTCGAATTTTAACCATAATGTGGTCTGCCCATCAGGGTCGTAATCCATGATGGTTGTAAATCGGGTGACCCACGTGATCAACACGATTTTACGACCTTTTTTGTGGCGGTTATTAAGTGAATACCACAATCATGAAGCAACATACATGGTTGTTAAGTGAAGCCCTGGTTTGCTATGGGCTGGTTTTACTGAAAGTAAAATGGGGTCATGTGATTGTGGGATACTGCAAATGTCCATAAATGCATCCTGGTACGCGGTCTAAAGTCCAGATACTTCCTTTGCAGGAGATATTTCTCAACCGGGAAGCCCCGCAACCACAACACCTTTCGGAAGATTGCTGGGTCATTCACAAGTGACGGACTCCCTGGATTCTGACCTTCATTACAACAGAGAACTCCAAGAGGGGAAGCAGATTGTCCAGGGCAGCTTTGTTGAAACTGTTCCCTTAAGAAAAAGCATCCAGGCTGCAGAATGTCCTCCAGCTGATGTAGGAGAAAGGAAGGATTCTTGTCCGAAATGTGGGAAAACTTTCTGTCACAAATCGGCACTCACTGCTCACCTGAGAATCCACACCGGAGAAAAGCCGTATCACTGCCAGGAGTGTGGGAAAAGCTTTAACCAGAGCTCGGCCCTCACTCAACATCAGAGGATTCACACTGGAGAGAAGCCCTACGGCTGTGTCAGTTGTGGCAAAAGATTCAGTCAAAGCTCCGCTCTGACCCAGCACCAGAGGATCCATACTGGGGAGAGGGCCTACGCCTGCCTCGACTGCGGGAAGAGCTTCATTTACCAGTCAGCTCTGATTCGGCATCGGCGAATCCACACGGGAGAGAAGTGCTACATGTGTCCTGACTGTGGAAAAGGTTTCAACCAAAGCTCTAACCTGATTACGCATCGGAAAATCCACAAAGGTGTGGAAGGTTGGTGGACAGCCTCCTTGAGAGCATCGTTCTTCTTCTGAAAGCAAACCGTTCCACCGGTTGGTTGTTCCAATTGTGGAACAGCTTGCCTTCAGAAATTGTAGGTTCACTGGAGATTTTAAAGAAGAAATGGGACAGCCATTTGTCTAAAATGGTATAGGGTTAGGCCCGGAGGGAAGGACAGCAGGTTCCAAATTGGTGCGCATGCATGCACGCAAACGGTGCTGTGTGCGCTGGCACACTGGCAACCCTATTTGCGCATGCGCAATGAGTCACACACACCCACCCAGTGCTAGCAGACCCATTCGTGCATACGCAAACGGGCCACACACACCTACCTGGCGCTAGCGGCCCCATTTGTGCATGCACGCATGTGTGAATGGGGCCGCAGGTGCTAGTGCAAGTGGCAGGGAGTGCGCGCACACGCGTGCACGCACCAGCCAGCCATTTCCGCGGCCCGCTGGCCAAGAGGCTGCAGCCTAGTGGTGGGCCGTAGCCCATAGATTGGGGACCCCTGTTATAGGGCAGTGGTGGCGAACCTATGGCACGGGTGCCAGAGGCGGCACTCGGAGCCCTCTCTGTGGGCACACATGCCGTTGCCCCAGCCTTGCCTTTGACCGCGACCCCCTCCTCACCAGCAGCCTCCCTGGAGGAGAGTTGCCCTTGAGCATGGCCCACGCAGAGCAGCGTAGCCAAAGACATGGCAGCCAGGCAGCGTAGACAAGACTGCCCTTATGCCCCAAAGCGCACAGTTGATGCTGCGGGGCGTGGGCAGAGGGCGTGGCCACCATGGCGCTGCTGGGCTGCCTGGGCGATCTGTGGTGGGCCCTGGAGGCGGTGAGTGGCCCTGCGGGCAAGCAGGGTAGGATGGGATGGGAGTGGGGCCAGTTTTTGGGCACTCGGTCTCTAAAAGTTCGCCATCACTGTTACAGGGTCTCCTGCTTGAGCAGGGGGACGGACTAAAAGATCTCCAAGGTCTCTTCCAACTCGATTCTGTAATTCCTATACAAGTAGTCCTCAACATAAAACAGTTCATTTAGTGAAGGTTCAAAATTACAACAGCACTGAAAAAAAGTGACGTAATGACCATTTTTCACACGGCCGTTGCAGCATCCCCACAGTCACATGATCAAAATTCAGATGGTTGGCAACTGGTTCATATTCATGATGGTTGCAATGTCCCGGGGTTATGTGATCAGCTTTTGCGACCTTCTGACAAGCAAAGTGAATGGAGAAATCCAGATTCACTTAACAACCACTGGCCTTCTACCCGGCCAGGTGCCCTTCAGATGAATGGGGAATCCAACTCCCATCATCCAGATTGGGAATTCTGGGAGTTGCAGTCCCAACACATCTGGTGGCTGCCATGTTAGGAAAGGCTGAGTGAACTAATTCCCCAAAAAATTGAAGATTCTTACCTCATACGCTTGGCCAGTATGTTGTATAACCATAATAATAGCATCCGCCTATCCCAGGTCCTTGGGAAAGACTTGATAATTGGATAAAAATGCCAAATCCAGTCTAAATATCTGGCTGGCTGTGTAACCAACCATAATTTTTTAAAATCTATATGCTGCCCAGTATGCAGTGACGCAGAATGGCTATTGTTATTATTGCTCTTTGATTAAGTGATTTTCAGCCTTCCCTCTGATATTGAAGGCTGTGGCTGATCCAATCAAATCAATTCCATTTATATGCCATTTATCCACTGATTTGCTCCTTACTATAGAAACCATCAAATGATATAGTAATAGTAATATACATTTAATATATTTGACTTCTGCAGAAACAATTTTTTCAGTTAATTTTTTTATTTATTTAGAAGATTTACATATGACCAAGTTGTGTAGTTATGATTCCAAGCAATGTACATCCAATACAAATCTGAACAGAAAAACAGAGATTGCAAATAAGAAACCTTACAGAGTCAAAAGAAATGAAATCCTGTAACCAACACAACAGAAATAAAACAGACTTCTTGGTGGTATGAAAGATTTTCAGAAAAATTACATCAATAGTGGGATAATGTAATAGTCTAAGGGCAGGGCAGCCACCCAAAACTTTAGATCTAGTTATTTATTTAATTTTATTATTCAGATCTCTCATTTGTTATTTTTACAAATAACTCAAGGCAGCAAAAGTATCTAATACACCTTTCTCCTCTTATTTTCCCCACCACAACACTGTAAGATGGATTGGACTCAAGAGAGAGAAAGTGACTACCAGGGGTAGGCAACCTTGGCTCTTTTATGACTCGTGGACTTTGACTCCCAGAATTCCTGAGCCAGCCATGCTGAGGGGAAAGGGAGAGGTTTCCAAGCTGAGCCATGCTGGCTCAGGAATTCTGGGAGTTGAAGTCCACGAGTCGTAAAAGAGCCAAGGTTGCCAACCCTTGGACTAGCCTAAAGTCACCCAGCTGGTTTTCATGGCTAAAGTGGGACTTCACCCATTTCCCACTTTCCAGCCTGGTGCCTGCTAGGCCTGCAAACAAACTACATGGTGGCTGAAGTATAATTTTTGCCAAACTGAATATTTACTGAATTCCCAGCCAGGACAGCCATTGTTGAGCATTTGATGGAGGGGGTTTGCTTAGCATTACGTATGAAGGGCTTCATTTTGTGTTAAGATAAAAAAATCTATGAAGAAAGGGATTTCCTGGCCCAAATCTCTCCTCTGCTTCCAAAAGGAGTAGTTCCGTGAGATTTCTTACATGAATCATCTCTGCTTTGTGGCATTAGCAATATCTTCCAATACATTGGAAGGACATAAGAATCTGCCCCTTTTTTTTTGGTCTGCTCTTCAGGGTCTCATACAGTGGCGTTTCTCACCAGTTTCTTGAGCTTGAACCTAGACCTGCATGCAAAATGTGTCCTTTGTCACAGAGAAGTGATCCCCATAGTGCAGGGGTGTCAAACTCAATTTCATTGAGGCCCGCATCAGCATTGCGGTTGCCCTCAGGGGGCCAGTTGGGTGTGGCCAGGGTGGGTGCAGCCTACTAGGTGGGTGTGGATGGAGTGAGTGTGGCCTACTGGGTGGGTGTGGCGATCGCGTCAAGGGTGCCTGTGGGGGCCTGGGCAGGAGTGGGATAGATCTGAGGGTATCTGGCAGAAGGGGGTGGGACCAGGGCAGGTGCCAAGGCATGGTCCACTGGAGGAGCCTCACTCTTCCTCTCAGGCCATGCGGGGGGGGCTTATGGAGCTAAGACTGAATGCGTTTCAGCATAGATGGCCACCACAAAATTGTACATTGGCTCCCGGCCGGCCTGGGCCAGGGCCAAGGCAATGGGGGCCGTTCCCTCACTGTTTCCAGGATGGCTTCGTGGGCCACATGAAACCACTTTGTGGGCCGCATCTGGCCCCCGGGCCTTGTGTTTGACATGTCTGCCATAGTGAGCTGTTTTTTTGCTGTATTTGTAGTTTCTAACTGACATTCTGTTTTCCTGTTTTTTTGTTTATCTGTTTATCCTGAAGGTAATGGAACAGCCTACGGGAATGACAAAAATAATCCTGAGCTTGAAAATGGTGTGCAGTTAGAACCGCATAGCAACACTTATAGGACACTCCAGCAAGCTTGTCCTCCCCTGGAAAAATGCCTTTTGGACTGGAAACTTTCCAAGAGAAACCCTTCAGATCAGGCCCAGGCAGCACCTGTGCCTAGCACAGGAAGTTTGATATCTCAGAAGGACACCGTAAGAAAAGTAGGCATTCCTAGGGTGAAACGGCCACTTATCTGTCACGTCTGTGGGAAGAACTTCAGATATAGCTCCCATCTGGTCAACCACCAGCGGATCCACACGGGAGAGAAACCCTATCACTGCACAGACTGTGGGAAAAATTTCATCCAGAACTCAGCGCTCAAAAGGCACCAGAGGAGTCACCGAGGTGACAGGCCCTATCGGTGTTCAGATTGTGGGAAAAGCTTTAGTCGGAATGCCCATTTGGCCAAACACCAAGGGATTCACACTGGGTTAAAACCTTACGAGTGTCTGGACTGTGGGAAGAAATTCAGCGTGAAGATGAACCTCGTGATTCACCAGCGAATTCACACGGGAGAGAAACCGTACACGTGCTTGGAATGTGGGAAAAGCTTTAGCCAAAGGGCTCATTTCATTATCCACCGGAGAATTCACACGGGAGAGAAGCCTTACGAGTGTCCAGACTGTGGGAGAGCCTTCCGTGTGAGCTCACACTTGGTTACACATCAGAAAATCCACATGGCAAAGACTTCTTTCATATGTCCTGACTGTGGGAAAAGTTTTAACGGGAGCAAGCAGTTCGTTCAGCATAAGAGGTGTCACGCCACTGGAGAAAAAAGTCCCCTGCCAAATTCAGGGCTAACTATTAAGAGCGAGCTCTGAATTTCCTTATTAGGAGTGAATTTCTGGTTCAATCAGCCCTTGAAGTTGAAGAGGGCATTTCTGTTTGAGGGAATCAAAGGAGGCAAAACGTCTCCCGGCTGTCTCTTCTAATGGCCAATGATGAGTCTTTTTCTGCGCACTGAGCTGGAATCAAGGCAGTTTGGATAGGAGATTTTTCTCAACTTTTAAAACTGTTGGGGCAGAGTTGAGAGCCAAAGACAGACAATGCAGTGGTGGGCTTGGGCGTGGAAAGACCTGATTTCAGCCATTACACAAACTAATCTTATTCAGAAAATTGAGAATAGATGAAGCAGAGGGGAAAAAAGCTTGGGTCTACTCTCTTTGAATTTTTTTTAGATCAAGAACGGAGTGCCACAAATAAGATGCTGTACTAGACCAAGAAGAGAACCATCCAGTGGAATTGTCAGGCATCTCCACCGCTTCTGAACAGCATCCAGGGTAGCAAGGAAAGGATGGAGGAACTAGGAACAGCTTGGTTTCCTAGAGAGGACAGTTCTTATGATTGCACTGACTGCCAGCTTTGGCGAACAGAACAGGCACTGCTCATGGCATCTACCAAGTGGGCCTTTGCACTGAATTGAAGGAGGGTGAATTTGTGAAATACCACTAAGGCCGGCCAAGATATTTTATTGTTTGAAGTGAAGAACAAGGTGTCTGGCCCTCATTCTGTTTACACCACCCCAGCTACTTTCATAGCTGGATTTTATTTCAACTGTGGCAATTAGACATCTTTTTGTGCTAGGCCAGTAGGTGGCAGTCCAGCTTAGGGGGCAGAGGAGAATGTGGGGAGGAGGGCTGCTTGCTGCCCAAATCTGTAGAATCTGTGCATTGATGATGTTTCCTAGTTTGGGTAATGAAACATCTGCAAGAAAACAACCAAGCTCGGAGAGCACCAAGGACTCCACAGTCTGTAGAATGTGTCTCCTGAGAACGTCCGCCTAGGCCAGGGGTAGGCAACCTTGGCTCTTTTATGACTCGTGGACTTCAACTCCCAGAATTCCTGAGCCAGCCATGCTGAGGGGAAAGGGAGAGGTTTCCAAGCTGAGCCATGCTGGCTCAGGAATTCTGGGAGTTGAAGTCCACGAGTCATAAAAGAGCCAAGGTTGCCTACCCCTGGCCTAGCCTCAACTTTGCAGGCGCACAGCCAGAGATACCAGGGCTATATGTGGCTCCCCAAATGCCTAGCATATGCCTTCCACCTCCAAAATTTACCAGGAGATTGCAACTGTTAGTATAACAGAAAGGGGAAGTAATGATATGTAACTAATGTGATTTTAATTACATATAATTACATATAAACTGCATTCAATCGTATTTAACTATTGTCCTTGCCTGACTGTTGTCTTTTGGGTGTGGACTCTGAACTGCAATCAAGAAGCCAAGCACAAACATTAGCCTGAGAAAGGGTGTGTGTGTGTCTGCTGTGCCTGATAATAGTGCAGATCCTATTTTAATGTAATTAATGACATTAAATGAAGTAATTTCTGTCCCATGAATTGGATTCAGAAGTGTGTCTCGGGGGAGGGGAGGAAAAAACCCTCCAAATTCTGCCTCTTTCATTAGCATGACTTTATATTTTGTCTTTACTGTCACCAAAAAAAGAAAAGTAGCTTCTATACATGTGATAAAATGGAGCTAATTTGGCTAACATTTAATTTGATTGGAGTCTCTATTCCCAAATCCAAAATGTTATTTTTGAACTATTACTGTATTTTAGTGTTGTAGAGGGGTTGGAGGTTTTTTTGGCCATTCAGGAAACTGCTTAGAGTATAGAATTTTGTGAATGCAGTTTTGTGAAAATGATCCTTTTCAGATTTTTTTCCCAATTTTTGCATATCTTTCACTATGTCGTCAGAGCTTCATGTGGGTCTTGTTGATATATAAAGGGAATCTGAGTGGACAAATAACACCAGTGTTGGGTGCTTATTTCGGTGATTTTGTAGCCATGTATAATGCAGTGTACAACTTTGGGCAGTCCAGCCAATGAAATTAAAAAGGGCCAGTGGTGTGAATAATTTATTAAACAATCAGGATTGACTTGGGCTATCTCTGCTGTATAGGATACTCTCAAACTTTGGATCTCCTCTTCCTTGTAAAGTTCTCACTTCAGAGATTCTACAAGCATACCATGCCCTACCGATAGCTCAAGCTTGAACTGTGGGGTCCTTGGTACTCTCTGAGCTTCATTGTTTTCTTGTTGACGTTTCATTACCAAATTCGGTATCATCATCAGTGCCCTGCAAGAAAATAACCAAGCTCAGAGAGCACCAAGGACCCCACAAACCATGCCCTGCTAGAAAGAAAACATGAAGACTTCTATAAAAAAAGATCTTTGATGACTATCAGCCTGGAAAATTTTATAAAACTATGTCCAAATTCCCCTAGCCCTTCACCAATCCACAATCAGAGCTGACGAAATGACTTATCTGAGACAATAGTCACTCTTATCGAGAACGACTGTTCTGCCAACATCATTACAAGAGCAGGAACTCACAAAAGCAAAAAGAACAATATCCAGTGATCTGTAGGCCTCTTACCTTGTTTAAATGAGTCCATTATTAAAAAATAATTGCATTCATGGGAAAATAGAAAGGCATTTTATTAGCATTATTTGCCAAGAACAATACTGGTACTTAACGTTGCCAAAACGCACATGGGTGACCTTTTAGACCTTAAGAGGATTGTTTCATGGATAGATTAATAAAAATGGGATTCTTAAGGCTCATGGGTGTCTTCACCTCTGGCAGAAACCAAACCAATTATTTTGTTGAAAATCTCACATCCATTGTCAAGCATTGTGATTGTAGCCCCAAGGCCTGAAGGTGTTATGATGCCTCAAAACCAAGATAAGCTGTGAGGGACTTCCAGTTTGATGTAGTGATATGGACGCAGGAATGCAAGGCTCTGCTTTCTGCGCCAGATTTTGCCCGGCAGGGGGCCCTATAAGGGCCTAAAATCGCCCCAGAGAGGCAATGAAGAAGGAGGAGAGACAGTGGTTGATCCGTTTGATCTGAGGAAGCCCTCCAAACCGGCAGGGGAAAGACTGGCTGCACTCCTGTGGCCAGCCTCCAGCTACTGACAACCGAAGAAAGAAGCACTAATTAGCATATCATAAACTCTGTGTTTGGAACTGGGTGAGAGTATTGATCCTTTCTTTACTATTTTACAACTGGATTTCCTGGAAAAGGCTCCCAAGAAGCTGAAAACCTCCGAACGTGAGAAGGAAGGGGATTGCAGCCCCCCCTTCCAGAGGAACAGAAGGGGCATTTTAATTTTTTTTTATAGGGGACAGAAACATTTAACACTCAAGCGGAAGTAATGTAAAGCTATAGTTTTAACAAATTTGAGAACTGAGAAAATTGTTAAGATTTTCTCTTTGAAAAAATACAGGGGTGAAATATAAGAAATCAACCTTCTATTTTAAGAGTCGGAAAATGGATATCGAATGACATCTAGTGGTGGACTAGAGTATAACACCACAGCTGCAATGATTGATACAGACCTGGCAAGAAGCCTAGAAACAGATAACAACCTACTTTCTTTGTTGTTTGGTGACTTTTAACTTGACAGAGAAAGCTGGCAACAAGAGAAAAATATTTTAGCATACTTACTACACTGTGATAACCTAATTGTTTTGAAACCTGTTGACCTTCTTGGATTATAAACATATACCGAGCTCTGACTTTTAATCTTAAGAACTATTTGGAGAGAAAGAAAAAAATGACTTCTGGCTACGTTTTGTCTGGAGGTTTTTGGATTGCTCGTAGGGTGGCTGAACGTTTTAAACACTTTGAATATTTTGGATTGTAAATTTCGGCTGATTGACAGTTTTTGGATGCCTGAGCAGAAGGACTACTACAAAATATTGCTTTCAGTGGTGGACTTATATACTGGAACTTATTGGATTATAAAGGCTGTATATAAAGACCAGAAGAACCAGATGAGACTTTGTCTTATGGACATTAAGACTGGTGGTATAAGACAAGATTAGTATGCGGGGATCACAACAGTTCTGATAGAATATCTGGAGGGGGAGAAATAAAATGGATCCTTTATATCTAGACAAAAATGGTAGGAAAGCATACTTAATACTCCCATCTAAAGCCCCCAGCCAGATTACCAGGGATTTGTAGAAG